GGGATGTAGGAGCCTAAGCGGCTTTCAATTTACAGCCCTTCTAGGGATTATATAGGGATTATATAGGGATTATATAGGGGTTATATAGTAGTTGTAAACCTGAGGCTTTTATCTTCACATTTTTCCTTGGCAGTTTGCAGGTGCGACCGAGGTACGCAGAAATTGAAGTGCCCAGGGCTTAGCATCCATACTTGGCAGACGGGGCGAAGCATTTGAACTTTGAACCCTTAAGCTCTTATCAGATTTCGGAACACAGGCTTGAGCTGCATGTTAAATGGAAAGCCTGCAGCTCACCCACTACTTAGAGCCGTCAGGAGCAAAGCAACTACTACTGACTTCATCTCCCTAAACCTCGGGTGTCATCGGAAATTCCGAATGCCCGGCCTACGTGGAAACAATCCTAGCCCATCCTGAATCCAATACCCAATATCCCAGTCAAGGTGGGCCCCTGTTTTATGGAGGTGCGTTTCCCGAATTCGAGTCCCCTAGTCCTTTCCTTACACCCCTAGAATATCAGGACTCCACCGGGAGCCCGAGAAAGGACGCATGTTTTCAGAAAAGCCGATAACTTTCTGAATCTGGTTCAAGGGGCAAAGCGCATGTGGAAGCCTTCAGCAGCCAGTGCAGGGCGTGTAAACTTTTGAGGCTTTGGGATTTCTGGTGTGGGAATACATGGGTACGTCATCAACTTACTGGGGGTGAGTAGGGAATAAAGGAATATATTACATAGGGATTAAAATCTAGGGATTGTATTCCCTTATTCCCTACTAACTACCAGTAAGTCAATCTCATTTGTTTTCCCATCTTGGATCTACATGGAGAGCCTGCGTTTTAGGCAGACGCACCAACCCGTGTTATACAGCAGAAGCTTTCGGGATGTGGAGTGCGAGGGCCGGAAGCCGCAGCCCGTGAGCTTTAAAGATTCAATTGATGCCCAAGATGCTTGCCCCTGAAACTGTAAGACACTGAAACTCTACAGCAGTGTATGACGCGTGGGGGGACTTCGGATGGGGCGTTGGCATACTTTGGCAGGTTCTGCAATCTGTACGATGGGAAACACAAGCCTTCCAAGCACCACTTGTCTAGACCTTTCCATGCATGCCAGCAGTTGCAAAAAAAATACACGTGTAATCTGACCATGTTTTGCAGCTTGACGCAAAGCGTTGGTCACATTATTCTGTGACAGGCAATCACCTCGTAGACCGAACACGCCACGCAATAGATACTTCATACTTCCAGAGCACCTGCAGCCCCCCAAGCTATGAGACCTTAGCTAGTCACAGAACAGCAAGGGACCGAGGGCGCTATCATCTTTTAACCCAAAGTTCTCGGGAGACGAACTGCTTTGGCCGTAGAGCTTTGTCCAAGCAAGGTCGCCTCCTCCCCCAGGAACCTTCCGTACATGGGCATGGCGCATGGGCTTGTTAGGCGTAAACCCCAAGCCCCCCTAAAACTCTTCGTTTGAGGTGTTGAGGTTGTAGACTTCCTGGTTCTGGGGCTTCAGTGGACAGGAGACTTATGGCATCTGCCAACCGCGGGCGTCCGAGAGATTGGTTTGCGGGCCTATGCAAAGATGCCGAAAAAAACTATGCAGTGAGTATTGTGGGGCTGTACGTTGTTGAAAACACGCTTGATTAGCCTGCACCTCATACCTCATCCCACTAAGGGCATACCTGGAGGGTTTAAGTTTGAATGCATGCTCCTCTTTGTTTCAATTGTGTAGTAAGCTACGTGAACTTCAAGCCTCCTGGTACTCCAGTACAACCGCTGAAGCATCCCCTGATTAAGCCCGCAATAATGGCCGCTGTCAGTATTCACATGAGTAGTATTGATTTGAACGCATGAACTTCCTCAAGGTTCCCTTGCATTGGCTGCAACAAAACAGGCCACAGCAACTAGAGCCATCCTCATGCATATGCATGAACATACACATTGCGCCTCATCATCCTGAACCCAATAACCCTAAACCCTGAAGAAACCACTTGGCCCCCAATCCTCTTCTGCAATCTACGCAAAAGTGAGGCACTTCTTTCGCCACATGTCGAATTCCACTGCGTCGCGAACGGAGCTGAGACCCGCTTTGACCTTACATGTTAGATTGGGCCCCCACCCACTAATACTGGGTCGCTGTTAAGGAACTTAAATTAAGTTACCATAATGGGTATTTTTTAGTACATAATAGGGTTTCCCCAATATAGTAACTCAACTTGAGTCCCTTAACAGCAACCCAGTAATAGTGACCACAAGAGGTACTGGTAATTATATTGAGGTTCTTATATTCCTAGTATATACACTATTAGTGGGTGGGGGCCCAACCCAACTTGCAGGGTTTTTAAGGTGTCATGGGTAAGGGAGTTCAAGGGCTGCAAGTGCCACACTCTTTGGTTTTACTGTTGGTACCTCCTCCCCCTAACAACTGGCGCACAGAAAGCTTAAAGAAGGGACCCTCTTGAATTAAGGCTCCCTTGGTTCTGCAAGGTCCTGACGGCTCTGGGAAATAAGTTGCGTGGGAAGAGCAGAATTTTCGTGGAGCCCGAGAGATGCAACAGATTAGACACAGCTTTGCATCCTTGACCTGAAGCTTTTTAAGCGGGCAACGGAACACATGGTAGAGGGCCTCTGGACTAACATGAATTCAATATTAGGCTTGTGCAGTTGTGCAGTTTAGTTTCCTATTTGCTACCTAGACTGTTCATGTAGTTCCCCGCGCAAATTTCAATCCGGCACTCCTCCAACTAGACTCATCAAACCCCAAACCCCAAACCCTAAACCCCAAACCCCAAACCCTAAACCCCAAACGCTAAACCCCAAACCCCAGACACTAAACCCTAAACCCCAAACGCTAAACCCCAAACCCCAAACCCTACACCCTACACCCCAAACCCTAAACCCTACACCCCAAACCCTAAACCCTTAGCCGAGTTGCACTGGCTAAGCCAACCAACTCGTTGAGCTCCTTCAGGCGACGGATGCTCCAAACAATGGGTTTAGGGTTTAGGGCTTTAGGGCTTTAGGGTTTAGGGCTTTAGGGTTTAGGGGTTATATTGGGATAATATGGGTATAATGGAAAAGAAAATGGAAACTACTGGGATTATAGGGGGTATATAGGGATTGGGAATATATTGGGATAATATGGGGATAATGGAAAAGAAAATGGAAACTACTATTTAGGGTTGAGGGTGTAGGAATATTACCCCCAATAATGGAGAATCAAGTGGGAAAGAAAATGGAAAATAACATGGAAGCTGGGATTATATATGGGTTACATACAACGGCTAAATTCCGAGTATTGGGGAGGCTCTCTGCGAAAGTGTGTGCGCGTCTTGGTCAGTGCGGATGTGGAGGGCTCGCTGGCCCGAAGGTCTTTCTCGGAGCCCACGCCCTCACGTAGACCTAGGGCACCGGCGCAAAAGAGAGCCATAACATTGGGAAAGACCTTCCACCAGTTTTGATGTAATCATCCATTTTGTCAAGAACCCCACGTCCAAGCACCGTATCATGCTGGTATTCTCCGACTGTGAAATATCGGCTGGTCCTAGCCGCATGGACGACAAACCCTCAACCCGACATGAACAGCCCGCGCGTCCTGAACTAAGCTCTCAACCTAGGGAGGCCGCATTGCGGAAACGGACTTTCAGGTCATGGGCAGAAGTTTGAGATCAAACGTATAAACAAAACTTCACAATGGTCATCATTCAGGGTTCAGCGTTTGAGGTCTGAGGTTTAGATTTCTGGGTAAAGGTTGTTTTATGTGGATTGCGATGCGTATTTCCGAATGTCATGAGCTGCCCGCAATCATGGGATTGATAGAGACGATGAGACTTATGGGGCTATCAAAGTACAGGGAAGGACCAGGAAAGGCATCAAACTTACACGGGCGTTTACAAAAGCTCGCTTCTTGTTTGTTGAAGGGCGTGAGTGTACAGAGCATTGTATCCTGTTCATCAAATTATAGGCCCCTTTGCTTGATGATGGCGCTGGAATTTACAAGACACACTGCCAGAGAACTTGACCTCATGCAAATACCGAAGTGCAATGACCTGCTCTACGCCGCGAGCCCAACTGCTTCTCTCAGAAATATGACTGTTGCAACTAAAGGCGAGGCTCAAGAAATCTGCATCTTGGTACGTCAAAGTATTCGCCAGACCTGGAAGACCCTTCACGCGACCTACCTTCATCACCCATGTAGTCTGCCAGCCAGCCTCATGCATCAAAATCGATATTTTGCAGGATGATAAATATCAACTCAGCATGTACGGAACCCCCGGTAAAGTGGCCAAGTGGCTTTGCTGCCGACACGAACCTGCTGGGCCTTGTTTGGCTTGCTCGGCTTGTAGAAATTGACATCCTCAGCTAGCGAGGAGCGAACGCACACCCAACAGCTGAACCCCATGACGTCCCGAACCCCAAATCCAAAGACCTGCAAAGCTTCGGTGTTTGACGTCAAGCCGCTCCCGGCTCTCTCTTCCAGGGCTTTGAAGCGATCATGCCCCACATTCGCAATGCCCCCAACATGTTGCTGCAGCTGACCCTCAAACTAAATCCAAAATCTCGGCTTCAAGGACATCGTGGGGTCAGTTTATGGCCTCTACCAGCGAGTGCCAGCGATCTGCAAAGGTCTGCGTGTTTTTTTTTGGTGCGTTGGCAGACGGCTCCCGCATCCACCCAGCCATAGTCAGAGACCAATATTTCCCCACTGCCTGGTTGTCCCCCAGAGCCTGCTACTTTCTTGTCCCCCACGTAGACCGCCCCTCTTCTGTAGTCCGCTTTAACCTCGCTCGCCTGGAGGCCTCCTTTCGGCGCCTTCCAGAATGGCTCTTTTCGTTTTGGGCGCTCTCATTTATGACCCCAATGGTGGCGAGATTTGCTACCTGGGGGTCGGGCCCAGTTGCCGCAATTGTGGGATTGCCAGTGCCCTCATTGAGGCGGGCTGTCACCTTAGAGCGACGGCGGATCTCCTGTGGTTCCGAAATCGCCATCCATATGACCAGGTCCGCACCAAAGGAGCACTTGTGTCCTGGTGCCATCTTCACCTTTCTAGCGGCCTCCACCGCTCCAATGGCCCTTTCATGCAATCCCTGCATCAACTCTCCTGGCAGGCAACGCAGAGGGACTACCACGAAGCCTTTTTGTTTGCCCGGAACCAAGGATTCGCAATTTGGCACCTGCAATGCGTTGGTCTCAACGAAGTCTTTGGCAAGTCTCAACGTCTCATCAGCGTCAGTAATGGGGCTCCGCCGGTCCACGGTCGTCATCTTCCATCGCACCAGCACTTCTCCATGCTGCCGCAGCGGGTCCTTTCTCGAGAGTGTCCAGCCTCGCGACGATGTCTGCTACAACAGTGGAGTTCTGTTGGGTCTGCTCTCCCTGCGTCTCGACTTTGGTACGGAGGCTGTCAAGTTATTCTCCCAGTGCTTGTTGCCTTTTGTCAACTGTTCGTATGAGATCCAAGGCGGAACCTACTTTATCTGCAAACTCTGCTTCCATGTTGGCCATTCTCTTCTGGAGATCAACCATCCCTCCCGTCAGGGGCGCCAGAGCTGCAGTCAGGTCCTGCAAAGTCAACCAAGGGGGCTGGGCGCCCTCATCCCATCGTGTCCGCTTGGTAGGTGACTGATCATTACTCAGAACTGCATGTGAATTCTGGATGTTCCTTTCCCCTTCTTCCGTGGCTGTGGGCAGCGGTGTCGCAGCCGCTTGTCTGAGGCTGTCCATTCCTCTGCCATAGCATGTCAGCTCCCGCCCTGTGTTGCCACAGTAGAGGACCGTTCTGGACTATGTTGTCCCGGCGAGCGGCCGCGGTGAAGACACAAAGTGGGCCAGCCAGAGTCACAAGGTGGAATTCCGAGACACCGGCTCAGCACAGTCTATGGGCGAGGTCGGCGTTCGACTAGGGCACACTACTCTCAACTCCAAAGGCACAGCGGCCCTGTCTGGCAACGGCTTGAGCCAAAATGGCAGCTTTAGACCTTGGCTGGGCTATTGGTCTATAGGGCTTCCCGGCGCAGGTCTTCCGGGACTGAAGATTCCCGAACATGGTCTTCTCGCTGACTTGTTTGAAAACGAGGTGTTCGGAAACTAGAACCCTGATATTCAAGACCTTGGATGTTTAGGGGCAAATGTTTGGTCTTGCGACTCTGCGAAGTGTTTGCCATGCTGACCACCTGGAACGTCATTAAGACGAACTATCTGAAACAATCTAGTGCCACCCTCTCCCAACTATCCTTGATATCTGTCGAGAGAAGCCCAGAATCTTAGCCATTGAAGTGCAATGCCGCACAGTTGCAACCATGCACCTGGCGAGCCTACCCTTTCTTGGCAAACTACTACAGAGATAAATCCATGGGCAGGATGTTGTCGCCCGCGCGGTCCAACAGTTTTGATTGTAGGAGTGGCCCTCCTCTCGCCCATGGAAAACTCGGGGGTCCAGATTGAAGCGGAGTGCTGCCGTCTCATCTGCTCTCTCCCTCTCTCTTTTTGTGCTTCTCCTTCTTCGTTTGTCAAGGTTCGTATTGGACTTACATATCGGGCTGTTCACAGCTTTGAATTGAAGGTCTAGATCCTGCTCAGGTTCATGCTTAAGTTTTTAGGGGTTTTATGTTTCCAATGTACCATGGTAGCACAACTTCACCAATGAAGACGGGATGAACTTCCATCATGCCGATAACAGGCTCCGAGAACACCAAGACTGCCTGTCTCGACCTTAAAGCCTTCAACCGTAGAATACCTAACAATGAAAGCCTCAAATCCTAAACCCTTGCTTATTCAGACCCTCCTAAACCCTAAACCCTAGACCCTAGACCCTAAACCCAAGACCCTAGACCCTCTCTGGTACCCAAAACCAGAATCCGTCACCGCACCGGACGAACGTCGCACATTGCCGAGTTTCAGTCAGGAATGGCGACTCAGACCATGTCTTGTCCTCTTACGTTAAGTGAGCATACGTTCCGGCTCAGTGAGAAGAAGCTGACGCACAGTTTTTAGTTGAGGGTTCGTGACTATACAAGCGTGGCTATTCTAGCTGGGAAGTTCAGAAACAATGAAACGACAGACTCCCATTCTGAGTATATGGCATTGAGACCTGAAAGCAAATCTCACGTGGGATCAAAAGCACCTTGTCGCCTTGTATTTTCCGGTATCTGTCCGTGAAAAGCTACTCTTGACCAGTGTGACATGAACTCAAGAAACGAACAGAATTCTTGTGGGTCAAGCAGCAAGGTCCTATCTGGGGTACATGGCCCAATTTCTGTAAATTGAAGGAAAGTACTGAAAAAACCCTTACTTCAGAAACCAACTTAACAGCCTACCATGTACCTTCTTGCAGTGCCAAACTGCATCTTCATGAAGTTGGTGTCCACCATCAACCCTGAAAACTCATCGAAGCGCTAGCAGCACCGAACGCTGAACCTCGAACGTATAGTCCCCCTTAAGTAGATAGAATATGGCTGTGGGTATATTATGGTAACATCCCCATATGCCCCATATTCTATCTACTCAAGGGGGGCTGTAGCTGTTGGGAGCCAGGAATGCGTGCTATGCCCGTTCCGCTCTCACTTGCCGCAAGGAAGTAAATGGGAGTTTCCCCAAATTAGGGGTACCATTTTGGGGGTCCCAATGATGTGGACTACAGTATTTTGGGGGCTATATTGGGGTCCCCTCTATTTTGGGAAGCTACCAAATGACCACAGGCAGGGAAGTAGATTACACCTTGCCCAAAGTCCCGGACTAGCCAATGACCAATCCAAATGCACCTCGCAGGCGAAACCGTCCGTATTTGCTGGCTCCATGGTCATCACACTCACACCCCTGCTCCTGAGGGCACTGCTCCCGCACGATGTCAGTGCACCGAAAAGGCTTCCCAGAGCGCACTGCAGTGAACGTCTCGGCCATCACCTCTTTTGAAGGTACAGGCATGCACTCTTGGTATTGTGCGTGCGTGTCTGGGTATGTCTGATCAGGGTTGTCCACCTTCCTGTCCCGTGGTGTGGACACTGCCCCTGGGCCTGTGCCCACACGCCGTCCCTTCCCGCTGTTGGATTTGCGGAACCTTTCTCCCTGCCCCAGTGTGGATTGGAGTTGTTTGGGGCTCTTGTCGCCCCACTCCTCCTTCTGTGAAGATAGGGCTTAGGGTTTAGGGTATAGGGGTTATAAAGAGGTTATATAGGGGATAATGGAAAAGAAAATGGAAACTACTATAGTATAGTATATTAGGATTTGATTTTGGGTTAGAGCTGAGACCGAGCTACAGGTCCAAGCATAGCGCTGTCGACGCACCCGATCCTTGTGACTCTTGGTGCTTTTCGGCATACCACAGGGGGACAATGTGAGTGAAGGTTTTTCCCACGGAAAACTGGGATCATACAGCATCAGCTGATGATCTAGGATTAGGGCAATGAACATAGGCCGTACCTTGATGCAAGATGTCACCTGGCGGTAAACAACTCCGTTGTTATCTCTTCATGCCACTGGGGAAGGCCCGTAACCTCCCTGTGCGATGGGCATGTTCTCAGGGCCTGTGAAACAGGGTCCTCCCAATCTACAGTGGTGAGCCTGCTGATTGCAAACATTCGAGCCTGCCCGCAAGTAACCATACTGTGGGGCTCGAAATGAGTACTGTCACGCTCGGTTGAGCACATGCGAGAAACCATTTCTAATCGGCCATGGCTTGGAGATCCGGAATAATCTGGCATTCTGGGCTGAGAATCTCCCAGTATGGATTTCCACGAAAATGCATGGGAGAGCTGAGGCCTGTTTGCTTCGAGAAGCCGTGCAAAAAACACATTGTGTGATGAGCATAGCCAAAAGCTCCAAGGAAACCTTCAGAATTGCAAGCCAGCACAAAACCTCTATGAAACCCTTAGACATTCACGTGTTGGTACTCGACTCAATCCCGATCTTGACCCAGTGCCTGGCAAGGATCTCCAAGGATACCGCAGCACATGGGGCTCCAAAAATTAGGAATACGTTTTTTTTTGGGTCCTTATTGTAAGGATGCTAGTATTTGGCGGTCTCTATTGGGGTCACTCTATGTTGCGAGACTACCCTATCCCTTGCTTGACAACACCCAATCTCCTTTTCAACCAAGTTCTGCGGCCTCCTCGCAGTAGCTTAGCACACCTGACGTGGCTTCAGGTTCTTGGCAACTGTAACCTAGGTTTCTGCACGTAATATGGGCTTCAGTTGTGGGGGGCTGCGAAATGAAGGATCCGATTGAAGAGAAGGGCAAGCTGGCTGTGCACCGGCTGTTCAGATTACCAAATAATATGGGGATAATGGAAAAGANNNTGAAATGGAAACTGGGATTATAATGGGCTATATTGGGGCCAAAATAATTACCAACATTATTTGCGCCCTCATGCGACCCCTGGTATCCTGATGTGCAACATATGGCCTACCCACCTCATTGTGCTGTTGAGTATTATGCCCCCTGCACATGGCCACTTGATAAGCATCATGTTGCCATGGTAGAGGGGAAGGAGGACCTGCTTGTGCGAAACCTATTTAAAAAATCGCTCCTTGGAAGGATGACAACACAATCCTACAGGCCAGCAACGGGGTTGCCTTTACGCAGTTCAATCTAAGTTACTATGTTGGGGAAACCCTAGTAATTACTGTATATACGCCTTATGGTAACTTAACTTGTGTTCCTTAACAGCAACCCTAAACCCTCAACCCCTGCTTGCATTTCATTTTCCATTTCATTTTTCATTTGATTCTCCATTCTCGGGGGGAATTTCCCTATATAACCCCTATATAAACAATCCATGAAAAGGCAAAGCAGGAAGAAGGGTTTAGGATCCGCTGGGCCTCAAAGGGTGGTAGCGGTCTATAGTCACCCTTAAGTAGATAGAATATGGCTTTGGGTATAGTATAATAAGATCCTCATATACCCCATGTTCTATCTACTTACTTAAAGGCGGGGCTATAGCCTAGCAACTTCCTTAGATCATTGCCCTCCGGACAAATACAGGAAGTATCGCCTTATCTAAGCCCAAAACCCTATATAACCCCATTATAGTAGTTTCCATTTTCTTTTCCACTATTCCAATATAACCCAATATAAAACCCTATAATCCCCATATAACTTTCTTGGGCTCACAGTTGCCTAAAAGGGTCAATGACTTTTCAGGAGGCCCTGGTTGTAGCTTTCAAGGGCTGTGTTCTTCTGAAAGAAAGTTCAGGCTTTGCGACTCCTCGTAGGGTGTGCCTTGGATACCCTGAAATTCGGGATTTACGGGAATCATGGGGCTCTCTTGAGGCTGGTGTGGCTCAGCGTATTCGCCTGGAATACATCTGAGCACGTAAGCCTAATCCTAACAGGAAGCAAGGAAAGACTGATGCATGAGATCTCTCCGTCGTCCCTCCTCTCGCCCCATAATTTCTTCTTAATTTCTAAGTCAAGCCCAACAGCATGGCTCGATTCAACCATCTATCCAAATCCTGGATCCCAAACACCCAGTACTCTCACGCAACAACAATCCTCAATCTGAACACATCTGTCCTCATGTGCATCCTCAATTGTCTCCATCAGAGCCTTCGTCTGAGACATCCCGTCTCCTGTGTAACCCTTTGCATTCGGCCTCGTACCTTGGGCTCAGGGTACCGCAAGGCGCAGCGGAAGGTGCTTCTGTTTCAGAAGTCATGCCAAGGCTGGTGCAACCACAGCCCTGGTCACTGCTTGCAGATTTATGGCCCTTATGGCACAAACACCGCAAGCGTGAACCACAAGACACAAAACTCTTGCATCCTGACATGTGCAATCCTGCAATCCCGCGTTCGCCTCATCCCTGGAATGCGAGAATTATAGTTCCGTTGGATTTCGCAGGCTTGGGTCTTTGAATTGAGCGCTGTTGAGCTCGGGCGTTAGGTAGTCCGAGCTCCGCTTCAACAAGCTTTTCGGGTTTCAGTCCTGTGATGTATGCAGCCAAAAGATACCCCAAGCGAATTGGTGTTCTCAGGTCTCAGGGTCAGGGATTCAAGTATGCCTGCATGTGAACCAGAGTTCACCAGGGACGCAGGTCGATACAGCAATGAAATAAGTGACTGGTGGTTCTTCGGGAAGAAGGGAATATCATCCCTATATAAACATATTCCCTGATTCCCTACTAACCCCCCGAGTAGGATAACTGGGCAGTGATCTAATGTCGTCCCTTCCCAGCCCCAGGGGCTGCACCCAAACTATCCTGCATCAGCAAATCCAAAACATCCAGCCAATAGCCTTACATCCTGAATCCATACTCAAATCCCAAACCCCAAAGCTGATCCCTCAAAGGAAGCCAGAATCTCAGAACCTGCAACATACTTGGTGGTTCAGAGCCTGTGGGACCCAAGACCAGATGCCACAGCTTGCATACTGCCCTATGCCCTAAACCCTACTAAGCCCTGAGCCCCACCATTAAACACACAAGCTGAGGATCTCAGAAGGTTCTGGACCCTCAAGCCAATCGTTGTCATAGTAGATGTCACGAATCTCAGGCTAATCCCAATTGCCCACCACCAAAAGGGGGAGTCGAGGGACTGTTGAAGTCATGGTTACCTTGAAAGGGGATGTAATGGTATATATATATATATATGCTTGCCCCCCCCCGCCAAGATCTACGTTTAGAGTGCTCCCACCCGAAAATCCTTCCAAAAATGAGAAATCCAGGAATGAAGGATTTCTCTTTAATTTCTAGTCAGATTTCAAAAGGAATTCATAGAGGAAAATCTTTCCGAAAATGCGAATTCCAGGAATTAAGGATTTCTCTTTAACTTCTAAGTAAATTTTAAAAGGAATTCATATATAGGAAAATCCTTCCAAAAATGAGAAATCTAGGAATGAAGGATTTCTCTTTAATTTCTAATTAAATTTAAAAGGAATTCATATAGAGGAAATCTTTCTAAAAATGAGAAATCCAGGAATTTAGGATTTCTCTTTAATTTCTAATTGAATTTTGAAAGGAATTGAAAATGTGCTGTAATGTCCCTAAATTTTTGTGCCTAGGAACCAAAAATTTAGGGACAGTACAGCACTTTTGCAATCCAGAGGAGCAAAAGTGCTGTACCGTCCCTAAATTTTTGTGTCTAGGAACCAAAAATTTAGGGACAGTACAGCACTTTTGCAGTCCAGACGAGCAAAAGTGCTGTACTTTCCGTAATTTGCAGTGGCTGACTGCACTTTCCTTTATGAATTCCTTTTAAAATTTAAGTAAAAATTAAAGAGAAATCCTTAATTCC